ATAGTTCTATCAATATAACCTGAGCCAAAGTAATCTTAACATTTGTGCTTTATAGGATTTCTTGCAATCCTGATGTTCACCTTATTTATTGAGGACTGGACATTGGTGTGGACACTTATGGTTCTTATTAATATCTGTTATCAAGAAACATAGAAGCTTTGATCTAGAGGGAGCTTTTATATTAATATATTGATTGATCAGTACCACTCTCCAAGGGAAGAGGGACAGTGTATGCTCACCACTATATATTCAACACTAATTACAACAGGCATGTTGCAGGCATAAATTAAATATATGCTGAATGCATGAATACCTGAGATCATGAGGAATTAAACCTTTCAAATTAGGGGTGAGAGGTAACTTGTACCTTGCTGTTCCTATCTTTCTTGAGAATTGTTCCTATTACTTATTCTGGAATGTCAGTGTCGTGGTATGAAAGGGGATCATGAAGAATGTTTAAATGTGGAGAGAGGCTTAGCTTATATATATTTTTTAAAACCTTATGTTGGTCTAAAATACATTGTCATCTATACTTATGACATACTGGGTAACAGAAGAACCATAAATTTTCCTATGATTCTCTTCTGGACAAAGAGTAATCTGTGTTTACTAGAAAATCCTGGAATTCTAATTCCAGGAACTTCTATGCAGATTCTTCTTATAATTTTCTGGCAACACCATGTTATTATTTTCCTTGTTTATATGTTTGTCTCCTTTAAAGTACTGTGATGTCCTTGAGGTTAGGGGCCATATTCATATGCATCTTTACAGAACACAGCACATAGGATGTGTTCAATAAATGCTTACTGAACTGAATATAAATAATTCTTACCTTGAGTCATTAGCCCAGATGATACTCTTTCCAATAGTCATAAAGCCTCTGAATTATTGAAATAATGAAGCAATTATGACTTTCATTTGTTTTACCTATTGGAAGTCTTTTTTGGTCTAAGATCTTGGCATGGCAAGATTACTTTGTAAGCGTGGCCCTCAGTTTAATTCTCTCTAACCTTATATAATGCCATGTCTTGGCTAAGCAAGAGCTGGGGCTAGTTGCTTGTGGAGAGTGAATTCAGGAGTAGATACAAATCACTGGTGCACAATGGGGCTGCAAAATCTCACAGGAAAAAAAGACACGTGAACGCTGCCCATCACCAGGGTTCAGTGATATGCAAAAGTAAGATGAACTAAAGTTGTCCCAACAGAGATCAGATCTCAGGAAAGGATACAGTGAAGCCTGATAAATAAGGGGAGAAAAAAGAAATCTGGCAATACAATCTCCTCTTTGTATTTAATAATTAATTTATGGGGAGATACTTTGAGAATATGAAAACATCTTGTTACTCATCACTCACCCTCTAGTTTTAGCATGCACTGATGGTTCTTGCCTGGATCAAGTTTTGCTATGTAGCTTACAAAGTGGTGATTTTCCAACTGCACAATTTTTTCCACATTAGTTGGCATTTTATTGTAAGGGAGAGCTTTTCATTCTCCCCTATTATGTTTTATTTATGTCAGTGTGAATATACAGATTCTTATTTTTATTATGTTAGTGGGTCTAACAACAAAATATTTCTATTGATCCCTGAAAATGATTTTTCTTACTACTTTACAAAGCTAGGTTTTGGCTACAACATCTTTTGCTTTGGTCTTATGAAGACAATTAAGCCTATGACTATAATTCTAGGCTCAGACTTAGTAAGGAAAATTGTCCTCAAGAAAAGGTCAAATTGCAAGGCTGTGGAAACAGCCCAAGTGCCCAACAATCCAAGAATGGATTAATAAAACATGGTATATGTATACCGTGGAGTACTATTCAGCTCTAAGAAACAATGGTGATATAGCACATCTTATATTTTCCTGGTTAGAGCTGGAACCCATACTACTAAATGAAGTATCCCAAGAATGGAAAAACAAGCACCACATATATTCACCAGTAAACTGGTATTAACTGAGTAGCACCTAAGTGGACACATAGGTACTACAGTAATAGGGTATTAGGCAGGTGGGAGGGGAGGGGCGGTATATACATACATAATGAGTGAGATGTGCACCATCTGGGATGGTCATGCTGGAAACTCAGACTTGTAGGGGGAGGGGGGAAAGGGCATTTATTGAAACCTTAAAATCTGTACCCCCATAATATGCCGGAAAAAAAAAAAGGAACAGTAAAAAAAAAAAAAGACACTGGTGGAAATACCTACCAAAAAAAAAAAAAAAAAAAAAAGAAAAGGTCAAAGTGATTTTAAAAGGTAAAGTACAGATTTTGTAATGGATTTTTTTTTCTTGGTAGGGCGGAAAAAGTTTTTTATTGTGGTAAAAATACATACATAACATTAAATTTACAGTGGTAACCATTTTTTAATGTACAGTTCAGTAGTGTTAAGTATATTAACTTTGTGCAATGGATCTCTACAACTTTCTCCTCTTGCAACACTGAAACTCTACACCCACTAAATACTAATTCCCCCAACTCTCTCCCACCAGTCCTTGGCAACTACCTTTCTACTTTCTGTTTCTATGATTTTGACTACTTGGCTTATTTTTCTTAGCATAATGTCCTTGAGGATCATGGTTCATACATGTTGTAGCATGTGATGAAATTTCCTTTATTTTTAAGGCTGCATAATACTTCATGGTATATGTATACCACACTTTCTTGATCCATTTGTTTGTTTCTGGACATTTAGTTTGCTTCTACTTCTTGGTAATTGTGAATAATGCTGTGATGAACATAAATGTGGAAATATCTCTTCAATATGCTGCCACGTCTCAGGAATGGTTCTTTGAACAAAGTTGCCCACAAAATTTGGTAAGGTCTGTCTTTAGAACTGTTTCCCTGCCCAATGAGTTGTATCATATGACTAAGACGTTATCAACAGTTTGGGAGTAACTTAAGGAAACTCTCATTTGGAGCAAGTGCCTTATACAGCCTATTCTATAAGAATTGAAGCAGCAAATACATAGTAGCTCTGTTCACAAGTCAAATAAAATTTTATTCAGTATGAACCAGATTAACTGGTCATCCATAACATCACAGAAAGGGACAATGTTTAATGAGGATGTACTGATTTCTAATTTTCTGGTTAAAGAGAGAATGGATGAAAAACTACAAAGAAATGAGTACTACACTCTTCATATAATTATACCCAAACAATATCATCTACCACTTACATGCCTTCCATTTGCCAGGTATTTAAATTTATCACCATTTTACAGAAATGAAAAGAATGGCTTCAAAAGGCTAAGAACTTGTCCAAGTTCAAAGAGCTGTTACTTGGCAGAAGTGGTAATCAAATCTGATATCAGGCTGGGTGCGGTGGCTCACACCTGTAATCCTAGCACTCTGGGAGGCCAGATCATTTGAGCTCAGGAGTTCAAGACCAGCCTGAGCAAGAGAGAGACCCCGTTTCTACCAAAAATAGAAAAAATTAGCTGGGCTTGGTGGCAACATGCCTGTAGTCCCAGCTACTCTGGAGGCTTAGGCAGAAGGATCGCTTGAGTCCAGAAGTTTGAGGTTGCTGGGAGCTAGGCTGATGCCACGGCACTCTAGCTAGGGCAACAGAGTGAGACGACTGTCTCAAAAAAAAATAAAAATAAAAAAATCTGATACCAAAGCTTATGTGTTTCTGATCTTATCACCATAAGTCTCCAAATACACTGCATGGCTGGTAAGCTCTCTCAATTATTTGAGATTTCTTTTTTCCAAAATGAAAAAGCTATTTGGAAACTTGTAATTATTGTGAGGCCATTTCAAACATTTCTATGAAAAACTAAATGTGTCTGTTTTTCTTCTGACTTGCAGCCTGAGTTACTTCTGTATCCTGGGGTATTATTATAGTAGCTAACAAAATCATGTTTGCTCGATGAGTGAGATGCACCTGTGAGCCACATATACATGGCAATTAAGTTGTAAAATCTATACAATTCAAACAGTTATGTCAGGAAAAAATGTTGGTTAAGTATAGTGTCCATGCTCATTTAAATTGGAAAATCTAAGGCAGTAAACTAGAAAGGTAAGTAAGTATTGCGTATGACTTATATGGAATGAAACTTTACAGGATGAAAAAAAAAAACTAAGATTAAATTAATTTTCACTTAATTTCTGCTTGAAACTCAAGTTGGTAGAAAAAAATATCTGCAACCATTTCAAATTGTTTCTAATTTCTATGTCCCACAAAGCTGCATAATGAGCTGATCAACAAAGGTAACGCATTTGATATCTGAAAGATTTTTGTCTGTGATATCAATTATAAAAACCATCATCAGAAATTGTTATAAATGTACACTACTAAACTGTTAAATAGTCAAAATGAGCCGGGCATGGTGGCTCACGCCTGTAATCCTAGCTCTCTGGGAGGCCGAGGCGGGCGGATTGCTCAAGGTCAGGAGTTCAAAACCAGCCTGAGCAAGAGCGAGACCCCGTCTCTACTATAAAATAGAAAGAAATTAATTGGCCAACTGATATGTATATAAAAAAAAAATTAGCCAGGCATGGTGGCGCATGCCTGTAGTCCCAGCTACTCGGGAGGCTGAGGCAGAAGGATCGCTCGAGCCCAGGAGTTTGAGGTTGTTGAGCTAGCCTGACGCCACGGCACTCACTCTAGCCTGGACAACAAAGCGAGACTCTGTCTCAAAAAAAAAAAAAAATAGTCAAAATGACCTGGATTCATTATTATTTATAAGTCAAAGGGGGAAACTTCAGTGGGTCTAACAACAAAATATTTCTATTGGTCCCTGAAAATGATTTTTCTTACTACTTTACAAAACTAACAACGCTTTGGCTACAACATTTTTTGCTTTGGTCTTATGAAGACACTAAGCCTATGACTATAATTCTAGGCTCAGACCTAGTAAGGAAAATTGTCCTCAAGAAAAGGTTAAAGTGACGTTAAAGGTAAATTTTTTTTGGCATTCTAATAAAAATAAAACACACATATTAGAAGCATCATATATTTAATGTCAAAGAATCTGAATTCAAGTACAAAAATTAAACAACACATGATTTCAACACTTAAAAACCGTAACACTTCTTATTCAAACAACAATACAATGAATATCAAAAACACAAATGAAGCATAACTATAAAAACCTTAAATACAGTAACAGCAAAATTATAATTAATTATAACAAGTAATTGTTAACTGTAATATCTGTGTTATTTTCAAGGACAATGGTGGACTGTTTTTTTCTTTAGTACTGCATAAAATCTGCATCTTAATCTTTTTGTCTCATCATTTCTTTCCACATAATAGTTAGATGCTTCTGGTTATATAACTGTTCTAATCTCCAATACAGATAGTGATAATCAAATCTAGTATAACCATTGTCTTCAAGTGCTTTCATATTTGTGAAATGCTATTTAGCAAAGTTATTATGCAAAATATTAACATAAACTACTGGGTTATACTGCCCACTGAGGAATTAGAAGAAAATCCCAAAAGTTTAAAAAGAATAGTAGTTTGCTATACCTTTATCAAGAGGAACCACTAATAACTTTTTAAACTTTGCATTTTTACATTCTATAACTCTATTATTCTGCATTATAGATGATGTCTAGTATGTTGGAATAAATATCTTTTTAAAACCAAATGTGCAAACCCGATTCTAAAATAAAACAGTATTTTAATTTGCATGTTTTACACAAAGAAATTTTCATACTAATGTTTACAATATTTTCTTCAGAAGAATGAGGCCTGATTGGAGATATATAGTCGCTGTCCAACATGGCTGCCATTAGCAAGTGATATTGTTGGTGACAAGGGATAGCTTGGATAAGAATAAGGCCTTGAAGTATAAGGAAGCACGCTGGGAGTCCCAGAAGAGAGGGTAGCACTAACAGGGGAAAGACTATTTATTGAGCTGCGACGGAAATTGTAGTCTGTAAATAAATACATGAACAATTATACTGCACATCTTTATGGATACAAATTTAATTCAAAGAGACAAAGCACTAAAACTATAATCACATTTTAACATAATGTTCTAACACTCAAAATCCTGATGATACTATCTATATTGCTGGTAAAGACTATTGCAGCATTCACTGCACTGTAAATCCTAAGAATTTTATCAGTCAGTATTATTCTCCCTTCACTGACACAATGCTTCAAAGGTCTTATTAGAATACATTCTTGGATATTTTTTTATTTTTTTGATTATAGAAAAAGAGAATCTCTGATTTCTCTAGCTCCACGAAGAAGCTTCGTTTAAATTTGGTTCTGACACTAAGGGGTGGTACATGAAGGAAAGATAAAAACAGTAAATTCATATTTGCTTTTTTTTTTGAAATTGTATTAGGCATCAAACCAGCAGAAACATTCACCCCTGGACTACATAAACATTTGGTGTAAATGAACTGTCCAATATTTCATTATTTAAATACTAATATAAACATTTATATAACTCAACATACCAATTTAACATTAGAGTCTTACTGATACCATAAAACAGTAAAATGAGTTACCTTTATAAAATAAACTTCAAGAAACCATTATCAACTTATAGTATAGAAAAATATCCAAAAATTAAACCAAATTATTAAAAAACAATTATATTTGAAATGGTACTGTTCCACAATAAACATTCATCTTATGCATCAATAATTTCCTGCTTCATTAATTGTAATATATATGTATATTAAAGACCAAATTTGTAAATCCTGTACTTTCCAAAAACTCAACTATGTTCTTCAATGTAGAATAAGCCAAGGGTGTAACAATGACTATAAAATTATTATTTATAAAAGGCATGCTGTTTCTAGGAATGCAAGAAAAGGACTGGGTCATCTCCTGTACAGGTAGTTTTTTTCTATAATATTGTTCTGGTACTACAAATGAGGCCTAAAACATATGAGCATTAACTTAATGTTGCCATGGGACTTAATGTTTAGCCAACAGGAATGAGATCAACTGCAGGAGAATAAGCTCAAGCAACATCAGAAAGGACCTAGTTAAGACAAAAAAATGGAAAAAATAAAAATCAGTTAAACATAGCTTCAATATCTAGCAGTGTAAAAGTCTAATTAGAATAATTTTACAACCTCTTTATTTTTATAAATGGTACCATAAGATCAATATAGCAGTTTGTTCCAGGAAGATATAAATATATTTAAAGTAACTAGTTCCAAGTATTTTCAGTATTTTGAAATTAGATGAGAAATTACTTTGATACTATTTGCTTTTCAAAAATCCAAATAGGATGACTCCAGGTATGACAGAATTTTTTTCTTTTAAAGGATCCACTTCACCCAAAGGGTTACAGTATCTGTCAAGTATAAACTGAAACATCAGTGCTCCTGCAGAGACCCAAATAACTGCTTTAAAAAAAAATGTCTCTTTCCAGGAGAGATTATTATGCAAATATAGTCAATTTCTTGTTAGCCACTTACCTACAACACACCTAGCTCTTTAAATTTTAACAATGTGGTCGTCAACATCATAATTTAGAAGAACAGACTTCTGCAGGTAGGGGAAATATAGTTTTCAAAGAGAAATTACTTTTGCTTTGAGTTTATATCTACTCAAGAGGTAACAGAACCTATTCATGAAATGTGGATATAGGAGATTTGTTTAGGGGACATTTTCAAAAGAAGCTAGCTGAACAGTCGACTAGTAGCATAATGCTCAGCATATCAACATTTCCGATAGTCCCTACTATAAACCTTTAAATATATAGTAATTGACTGTTTATTCTCATATTTTTAAGGAGAATAAATTAAATACAAAATTAAGAGTTGGTTATGATGACTTTATTCAATAGGAAAAATCAAGAGAAAAATATTTCCCACAAATACTACAAAGATCAGGAAACAAAAAGCTTCAGATATTTATAAGCATTTCAAAAATAAATTTTATTAATAAAATTGCTAAGAATCTACATATATTCAGAAAAACATCTGGGCAGTTAGAAAACACAATAAAGATCAAACTGAATGAATAAAATGTAAGCTGAAAATACTTAATTGGTGAGATAAACCTAGAAGTATAATTAATTGTTTTCCTTAGATCTAACACATAATTTACATATCATAGAAAATAAAAATCAGAAATTCTCATTAATTTTTAGGAAATAATGATGAATGAGTTAAACTCCTAGCATATACTTACTTGCCCACCCCTCATTTTTCTTCCCAATGAATAATATCCTTAGCTCTTCAATCTCACTTTCTGCCTCACACTGAGATCTGTACTTCCCTTTCCCCTTCTTAAGGAATGATACAGAGCCAATTTCAGAATTTTAAGTTTTACACTAGGTATTATTCAAACCTGTCTTTACACTTTTAAAACTGAGGTACAATTTACATACAATAAACAAATACATCTTATGTGTTCGTTTCACTGAGTTTTGATAATTGTATAAATCTATTGTACTTCACACCCCAAACCAGATATAAAACCTAATCACCAATCCAGAAGTTTCCTGTGCCCCTTTCCAGTCAGTAGCCCTTCTGTTGGAGGCAACCATTTTCTGCTTTCTATCACCATAGATTAGTTTTGCCTGTTCTTGGACTCCATATAATATCCATTTTTAAGTATTTTTTTATATCTAGCTTCTTTCTCTCAATATAATCTCTATAATTCATTCATGGCGTGTATTTCAGTATTGTATTCCTTTTTATTATTATAAAATTCCTTTTTATTATTTTATTATATATTGTATTCATACAATATATATATTGTATGAATATACCACAATTTCTTTGTTGATACTAATAAAGGTTTTGACTAATAATATCCTCCAATTCAAAATCACAAACCAGGAATAGGTTGAGATCTTAGAAGTCTCTAATTCAAATGACCTCTCTCACTGATGAATGACAGAGACAAAAGATGGTTGATTAAGTGACTGATTCATTCTCCAGCAGCTAAATAGACACACAAGTTCAAAATCAGGTCTCCTGATTACTATGAAAGTATTATATCCACTTGACCAAGCTTTTTCACTCTGGAAATCTCCAACAGGGTTGAAAGAAAGTGTCCAAAGAGACTTTTATGGGTAAGGGGATGGAACTAAAGTAGATATCTAAGCTACCTGGCTTTTGCTTGCACCTACCCATTACCACACTACTTCCCATTTCCACACTTCCCCTTTCACCCCCTGCACCTTATTTTACATGCTAAACTTTTATGGAATATTTAATTTGAAAAGATTGTTTTGCACAAAAAAAGTGTAAGAACTGCTCTAATATAATGGATTATTAAAGACAACATCCTAAGCAAATTTTCTACAATTTCATATTTATATCCTAAATAATTACAAATATTTTCATAGAACAAATTTGATCTACACAAAGAGAAGCAAATAGGCTTAACATCAAGTGCCAATTCTAATCAAGCAGTAATGGCCAACAGGAACCCTGGATTCAGAAAGATTCCAATAGGTATATCTGGAATGAGCAGGAAAATGAGTAATGATTGTTGTGCCACATCTGACAAAGGAGCAACGTAGAGACTGGCAGTACATATACCAGTACATATACACTTGTCAGTACTATTTATGTAGTTTCTATAATTTGGTCTACTACCTTTCTCTGTCCAACACAGAGACAGTCTGGTAGTGAATACAACCAATATGTCTCAGTGAAAATGTAAACAATGGATATACTGTTTCACTGAATTTGTTTCTAATTCTATCTTATACATCTTGACAAATTCCACTAGATTTCTAGATGCTTTTCTGTCTTAAATAAAGATGGGGAAAAATTCTTAATAGAAACTCTAAAGTGAGTTCAGTGAAAACGTCTTCTCATTAATTTTGAGTATCTTTTTTAGTTTGTTTCTGACAATTGTTTAGACAAAATTTCCATCAAAAAGTCTATTTCTGAAAACTGGGTTTTCTCCTTGTTGGCTGAGTTCTACCACACCCATCCCCCTTTTTGATGCACTTTAATGCAGTTGGTTTCAGTGTATTCACAAGGCTGTACAATTAACACCAACATATAATTCCAGAACATTTTCATCATCCTAACTAGAAACTCTGTACCCATTAACAGTCACTCCCCATTCCTTCTTCTCCCAGTCCCAGCCATTGATTTCTGTTTCTATAGACTTGTCTATTCTGGGCTTTTTATATAAATGGAAGCATATAATTCATGTATATGGTCTTCTGGAACTGACTTCTTGGCAAAATATTTTCAAGGTTCATCTATGAGAACTTCATTCCTTTTTATGACTGAATAATATTCATTGTGTGGCTAGACTACATTTTGTTATCCATTCATCAGATATTTGGGTTGTTCCTACCCTTTGGCTATTATGAATGCTGCTGTTGATAATGCTGGGTTCAAGGTTTTGTTTGAACATGTTTTTAATTCTCTTGAGTAAATATCTAGAAATGGAATTACTGGGTCATATGGTAACTCTAAGTTTAACTTATTGAAGAACTGCCCAATTGTTTCCCAAGGTGGCAAAGGCTATGCCATTTTATACTCTCACCAGAAATGTATGAGAATGAAACACCTGACCTTTTGATCAATGAAATACATTTCCCAGGCCTTTAATACATATGTTAAACATTTCCTTCGATTTCTATGGGATCATTATTGAAAGTTTTGGAAAAACTCATTTCACCATTTTATTATTTTAATTTCTAACATTCAATAATCACAATTGAAATAACTATCTCAATAACTTTCACTGAAACACTGAATTTCATCTGCAGAAAAACTTAGTTGTTTTACTGTACTATACATTCCCAGAATATAAAATACGGCTGAGCTCAAATACAGAAATAAAAAACCATATATACTGGAACATAAATAATATTTGTCACTTATTCTTCTGTACTTTCCATCTTAGTATAAAAAATCAAGACCTAACTGTAAAGAAGAAGAAAGGTTTCTCAGAACTGCTAGTTATTAAGCAACTTATAATGTATGAAATATTTAAAAATTATTAGTTAGAAATTTTTAAATGATACTTTCACTAGTTCACATATGTCAAATTTACTGGCATTTTTATTTCATTTTCCCTATTACGAATTTTTTTGGGGGAAAAGGTATTTTTATTAAAGGAAATTAGAAATATTTTATTCTAAAATATGGCATTTTGACATACTGGACTGACTGAAAAAGCCTCAAGGTCTCTCTGACCACCCCTCCTCTAATTGGCTCTCCCAAAATCCTGAAGTTTCATTATCTGCCTGAGATCCAGAACCACCTAGGAGAACAACTGTCTTTCCATCTCCTACCCTGTTACCTCAATATCTATTGTAGGAAAGATCAAGAATACAAACTTGGCCTAACCCATTTTTAAAATAATTTTAAAAATAATACCAGGTTAATTTAATTTCCAAAGAGAATCATTTACAAGTCTATTTCCCCCATCCACCTTTCTCCCAAGTATCTATTCATTCTCTCCAGTAATCCTTTATACCAGAAAGGCATATAAAAGCTTCTGAACCCAGTGGAGGAGAGGAATCCTCATTTTCTGGGGGTTCCCATGTATACATGTTATATTTGAAAATTTTTCTCTTATTAATTTGCTTTATTGTGATTTTTCAGTGAAACTTTGGAAAGCAAAACAGAAATGTTGCTTTCACCCCCACAGTATCTTCTACTTAATTTTCCCTGTCAGGCTCTTGACAGTAAAAAGAAGTAGATGTAGAGTGATCACTGTTTTTTTCTAAGACTAGTCCCACAGAGGAGCTTACATTTCTGATTAAGATGATTATAAAGGAGGCTCTGAATATGTTTATTTTAGTAATGGATGGCTAAGTTAGAAAGAAAGTTACTGCCTATAACTGCTTCCTTACAAAGTTCTGATTGGTTAGTGTCTGTTTCTTTTTACCTAGAGTAATTACAATTTTTCAAATTCAGTTTTGGAAGCAAAATCATCAGCTTTTGTTTCTAAGCTCAAATCATTTTTCAATTTACAATATATTTTCCCAAATCTGATTTGGGTTGTAAATTCTTGCTGTGAAACCTTTATGATATAAAACAATTATCATAAACATATAAGTTTGTCAGACTGTGTACCTTTATTTAAAGAAATTATAGCTGGTTCTTTCTAAATCATCTAAGGATTATAATTTTAACCTTCAAAAGCAAGAGTTTGAAATTCTAGAAAATGCAAACTAGAGCAGTTGCCTGGGAAAGAGAGTGGAAGGGAAAGAAGACAGATTGCAAGGTATATAAGGTAATTTCTGGGAGTGATGGACACATTTGTTTTCTGAATTGTGGTGTCATTTCACAGATGTATACATAAATCAAAACGGACCAAATTGTACACTTTAAATATGTGCATTTTTCCTGTGAACACACTTGGGGCAAAAAGAAAAAAATATGTGCATTTTACTGTATTTTAATTATGCCTCAAAAAGAAGTTACAGACATATAAACTCAAGTGTTTCTTTGGGTTAGTTTCAGTGTTTTCCAAACTACATCCCATACAATTAAAGTCCAAGCACCCCTCAAAATACGAATCCCATAGCCAAATAATCTCAAGAAAAGTTTAATGGAACAACTCTGAACATCAGTTTGGGAAGAGCTCTTAATGGGGTTAATGCATAATGGGAAAACATTAAAAACAAAATAGAAAAAAAGCTTTAAATATGCTAAACACAGCAACACAAACTCAAATGCCTTCAGAAGCAAGACTTAACATACAAATAAAACAAGAACAAAACGATGACTAAATTTAAAACAATCAATGCCTATCTGTATTGAAATTAAGCCTCCTGGCTTTCCTTCCAAAAAACTGAGACAAAACAAACCATATCCAGAGTTTCCAGTTTGCTACCTTTGTATTAAGAGATAATTATGTCAAATTCCCTTTAATGCTAGTTTCTAAACCATTTAGAAAGAACGTAATAGAACATTAGCTGATGAGAGAAAAAAATTATGATCACAGCTACAGCAATCTAGGTTTTAGTATGAATAAAAACTATAGTTCACTAGATAAACTATCTGGGCAAAAAACGAAGAGAAGAAAAAAGTCTTAGAAAAGATAGCAACTTTCAGTTTCATTTCTATCAATAAAATTGGTCCGCATAATTCAAAATTTGAACATAAAGTTGTGAAAGAGATAGACTAGCATCACATAATTGAATTTTTATGCTAAGATTGAAATCTGTAATAATAAAATGTAAGTCTCAAAGTATAATAAATATATTTCTCTTTGTATCTATAAAGAGCTAATATTATTGAGCATTACTGAGTGCCAAAAATAACCATACAAGAGCAATACAATTGAATCCTTATAACAGCCTTATAAGTACTATTATTATCCTTTTTGTCAAAGAGGAAACTTAGGCACAAAAAGGTGAAGTAACTTACAAGGGCACAGAACTGTACATGGATTGCTTCCAATGGTACCACGACATTCTTTTTGCCTCTACCAAGTAAAAAGGAATTTGGAACGTAATAATCTTTACTCAAATCATAAACTATCTTTAACTTCCTACTAGAGATTATCTTTCTCAGTACCTAAGCAAAATAAATAGTGAGTTCTAGTAAATGTAACTCTTGTTCCAAATTATTCCAATAAGATTTTGGTTTAAGAAGATTTTTTTAAAAAAATGAGTCCCATTTTCAGGTAAGTTTGAAAAATATTGGATAATCTACAAATAACACATTTCACTATATTTAATTTATCATACTGTGTACCATCTTGGGGTTCAAGGTACACAAGTATGTTAAATTTTGAGAAGACTTGAATTACAGAAACCACTTTAACTCTTTAAAAAATTTGCTTTGCATCTATAATTTAACAAAGGTATTATTATAATCAAAATACTTCACAAGGTTTCATTAGACAATTTTAAACATTTCATATTTCTTCTTAGAGCCCTAAGTATAATAATTTATAACTGGCTTTCTGAAAACTAAATATATCACTTAATATTCCTACGAGATATTTTCTTACCTGTTTATTTTCTCCAAATTCTTCTACACAGGTCCAGGCTGAAGAGATTGTGTTCCCTGTCTGTAAGCAGTGAAGACAGAAAAGAATTGAGTCTTGAGATTGAGGTTATCCCTATTTTGGAAGTGCATGGAATCCTTGATAACTAGTTAAAAACCTTTTGTTGAGCAAATTAAAAAGCAAATTTAGAGAAAAAGAAATAAGTGGCAAATAGTTATCTTTTCTAAGTTCTGCAAAGATGAAGAGAATAGTATTTTGATATCTGAATGAAAATCATGAGTTAATACATCATCTGAAAAAACATTTATCTTTCTAAATAAATCAAGTTCTTACTAGTTTTTCTTTTTAAAAAGTACTACCTAAGAAAATATTTTAAAAATAAATGAGATCGCCCAATTTCTAATAAACAAAGTGCCAAAGAAGCTAAGCAAATCTGAAAAATACAAATGTTGTAGTAGATGTAGTTATTTTACATATGAAACAGCATTTCCTTCCTGTCTTAAAAAGAGAGATGGCAAAAATAATACTAAACTTAAAAAAAAAAACTTTTGATTGCTAATAGCTAAACTTTATCTACTTAAAAACACATATTATACAACTGTGGGCATCTATCCATTTTAGTGGTTATCTATTTATATGTTTTAAAGCTTTCTGTTAAGGATGTATATCCAACTCTATGCTAAGAAACTATTCAGAAAAGTATAAAAAAATGAAAAATGTTTGATGATCTACAGAAAACTGTAGATTTTAAAATAACTATCTGAAAATTACAACTCAGTAGAAAAAAATAGTCATGGTATCTTCTGTTTTTACATGATGAACTCGGAAACCCTCCTGGTGAGAACTAGAAAATGTAAAAATATATTAAGAACAAAAAAATATGTCTGAAAGCATTAAAAATAATCAAGATAGTGACAAATTATGAAGCCATGATCATAAACAAGAAAGAAACCCAAAGAGATATGTACCTCTTTGGGAGGTGCATTTCCTCTAGAAGGGTTGACCAATTTCCAAATGACAGACAAGAAGATAGGGAAGGTGACAAGAGATAGACAAATTTCTGAGGCTAGGAGGACAAAAACTAAAGCTCAGGAGCTACTGATGAGACATGTTTGGCAGCCTGAGAAAAAATGAGCTAGAAGTAGACCAACTTTAACAGAGACTAAATTCAATTTCTAATCTTCTCAATCCCCACCTGGATTAAGACAATCTGGGTTTGCCAATCCTTTGACTTCCTTTCTGAAGCAAAAATAAATCCTCTCTGAATAGAGATAACATCAAGCTAGCCTCCAAATTATTGCTACAGTTTTTCATATACAGTATCTGGCATTCAATTAAAAGTAACCAGTCATACAAGGAGATAAAATAGCATCACCTAAAACCAACAGAAACAGCAGTCAACAGTAATAGATCTATAAAATAACTACACCTACTATGGTCAAGGAAAAAGAAAGACTAAAATTTTGGGAAGGAAATAGAATTCATAAAGAAGACAAATGTACTTCTAAAACTGAGAAATAAACCCAAATGAATGGTTTTATCAGCATATTAGACACAGATAAAAAAATCATGAACCAAAAGACAGGTAAGAAGAAAATATACAGACTAAACATACAAAAGAGTAGAAAATAAAGAATATAATTGATATATGAGATACAGTAAAAAGGTCAAACATGCATAACTTGATTACCATAAAAAAAAGAGGGAAAATGGAACAAAAACAATATTTGAAAACAGAATAACTTAGAACTTTCTAGAACAAATGAAAAACATTAATCCAGATTTTAGAAGTGGTAAAAGTCCCAAGCAAGATAAAAACTCAGAAGACCACACTTGTGTCCAACATAGAAAAACTTTTGAAAATCACAGATAAAGAGAAATAGTAACAGTATTTGGAGGCAGGGGATGAGGACTTCCAGTTTATGTTCAAAAGAATAACAAGCTGATTGACAACTGACCTCTCTACAAACAATGGAAGCCAGAAGATAGTGGAATTATTATTGCAAAGGGAAAAAAATACCCCTTTTTCAAGGGGCAGGTGAATTAAAAATATATTCAGACTAACAAAAACTGAAATAATTTGTCATGTGTCTGGGATGTGATAAAATACTAATTAATATTAGATTCAGTAAGTTAAGAATGCATGTAGGAGTCCACAGGATAATCAACATCATATAACACAACTGAAAAGAAAAACAGGCAAAAGAAACTACCTGAAGGCAAGAAATGAGGAAAGTGAAATAGAATAGGCAGAAAAAATATAAAGCAAATGGCAAGATGAAAGACTTAATCCCAACTACATCAGTAAGTACATTAAACGCAAGCTAAGCAAAAACTCTAAAGACAGACTTTGAACAAAACCAAAAAAGAATAACAACAAAACACCCTAACTATATATTAGGCCCATCTTAAGACTAAGAAGCAAGAAAACTAGAAAAGATGGAAAATGTATAACATACAAACTCTAGCCAACAGAAAGTTTTTTAGTTTGTTAATATCAGAGAAAATAGACTTTAAGGCAGAAACACATTAGGGAGAAGATAGAATAAAATAATAAAAGGTTCAATTCACCAGACCAAAAAAAAAAAAAAATTCTAAATTTCTATGCACTGAATACAAAACTTTTTAATATTTAAAGCTTTAAAAATTGATAGAAGAGAATAAGTTTATAATTACAATGGGTGATTTTCATAACCCTCTCTCAGTAAATGATAGAATACACAGACCAAAAATCATGAAAGACATAGAAATTTAACAGTATGATTTAATTAACAAACTTGGCCTAATTGATGACATATATAGTGTTATGGGTTGAATTGTGTCCCTCCCAAAAGATATCTTGAAGTCTGAACTCCTAGTATCTCAGAATGTGGCCTTATTGGAAGGTCCTTGCAGATGTAAGTAATTAAGATAAGGACACACTGGAGTAGGGTGGACCCTTAATCTAATGTGACTGGTATCTTTATAACAGAGAAACGAAGAGAATGCCATATGAAGACACAAATACACAGGGAAGAGATATCCATGTTATGACAGGCAGAGATTGGAGTGATGCCATCTACAAACCAAAGAACTCCAAGGATTGCTGGCAAATACAGGAAGAAGCTACATTTAAATAGCAAGGAAGGACTCTCCCCTACAGGCTTCAGAGGGAGCATGGCCCTACCGACACTTGATTCTGACTTTTATCCTCCAGAATATGAGACAATAAATTTCTGTTGTTTAAGCAACCCTGTTTGTACTCCACCCAGTTTATGGTACTCTTCCACTGCAGCCCTATGAAATTAATACATTGCAGTTAACAACTACAAACATGTTTTTTTAAGCAGCCCTGAAATATTTAATTGGGTCATTAAAAAACAAAGGACTAAAATAATACAGGATATACTTTCTCATCATAGTAAAATGATGAGAAATTTTACAAAAATTTCCATATTGTTTAGAAATCAATACAAATGGGTCAAAAAGAAGTCAAAGCAGAAAACAGAAAATATTTTGAAACAAATGATTAAAAATATAATACATTAAAATGTGTAGGATACAGCTCTAACCATACTTAAGAGGGAAATTTATAAAATGTATATAAAAGAAGGGCTGAAAACTCAATAAACTAAGATGGCTTCTTAAATGATATTCTACCTATTTAAAAAAGACATAATTATACAAATTCTTCTAGAGAAAAAGAAAAAATTTCCAACTCGTTTTCCTAGGAAAAGCATGGGACAATCTCACTAATGAACATATATATAAACACGCTAAAGAAAACACCAAAAACAAAATTTAGAAATATATAAAAAAGATAATGTACCATGCTCAAAGTGGGTTTACTTCAGAAATACAAAGTTGACATAAAATTTAAACATCAATGCCACTCGTCATGTTAAAAAAAATAAATGGCAAAAATAATTATCTAAATAGATGCAGAAAAGTATGATAAAATTCATAATCCATTCATGATAAAAACTCTTAGCAAAAGAGGAACAGAAGGAAATATCCTTAAGTGATAAAGGGCGTCTATAGTAAAAGCTACAGCAAACATAATACCTTAATGGAGAAACACTGAAAGTTTACAAGGATGGCTTCTATCATCATTTGTATTCGATGCTGGATAATCAGTTCTAGCCAGTGGAAAAAGGCAAGAGAAAAAAGAAAAGTATAAGGATAGAAATGAAGAAAAACCTCATTATATGCAGCTGACATTACTGTGTATGTAGAAAAATAAAAGTACTGTTGAGTCAAACCATTAGAATCAAGTAAGTAGGTTTCTTCCAATATATTAAAAAATAAATTGTATTTACATAAAACAATAACAATTAGAAATCAAAATCAAAAGAATGCATCTTTTACAATGGGACTGAAAAATATTAAACACCTAGGAATAAATCTGATGAAAGATGTCAGAGATATTTATACAGGAAACTACTGAATATTTGAGAGATGTTAAAGAAAGCCTAAATGTAGAGATATATCATGTTCTTGGGTGAGAAGGCCTAATACTACAAAAACATTACTAACTCCCAAATTGATATATAGATTCAAATCTAATCAAAATCCCAGTAAGAGTTTTGTTTTTGGTATAAACTTACAAGTTGATGGTAAAATTCATATGGAAATACAAGGGCTAAGAAGAGCCAAGATAATTGAAAAAAAGAGAAAATAAGTGGATATTCTCTACCAGACATTAAGACTTCTCATAAAGTTATGCAATTAAGACAATGTGGTATTGGTGCAAGCAGAAAGAGGATCAATGGAATAGAATAAAAAAATCCAGAATAAAATATTTATGCTTGTGCATACAGAAGGAGGGTGAGATTTATGCTAATGTGGCACTGCAGAGCCACATTAGCATAAAATGGTGTTGGGTAAGTGAATATCCATATTGTGGGGGTGGGGGAAGACACTGATACTTACTTCATATTTACTTCACACCTTCACTAAGTTTAGAAGATTAAAAAAGATTTCTTAAAAAATAATACAGAAGGCCGGGCGCAGTGGCTCACGCCTGTAATCCTAGCACTCTGGGAGGCCGAGGCGGGCGGATTGCTCGAGGTCAGGAGTTAGAA